TTGGGTTAAATTAACCCTTATGTTGATATCATTGGTCTTTAGAGAGAACTTTTATAGCAATCAATACCAGTGCTATCTAACACCTTAATAAGCAAAATGTATACTAATATGTAAAATAATAGATAGTATTGTAGAGGTCATTTTTCTGGTTTCTTTCATGTGTTGTGATTTTTCCCAAATTTGACACCATTTTGTAAAATGATGCAGCAGCAGCAAAGTCTGTAGATAATCAGATTATTTATTCTATAGTGGAAGAATAATTTCCAGGACAACCATTTTATTTATTGTTATTAGATGGCTGAAATCTATACTTTTACCCTTCGGCACATTCTACTGATGCCAGTTAATTCCTTCTTTGTGAGATGCTTTTCAGTGGTGCGATATGCTATTGGGCTAATACAAGAGGGCTTTACACTGTCAGAAAGCACTTCATGCCAGAAGAACACGCCGATGCTACTGAAACACACCCTTGGTAGTGGAGTACAAGTGTAGAATTTCATTCATGGACTGTATAGGGGTAGATCCATGAGTGGAGTGGAACTTCACCACTCCTTGCCCACTGCAGCCCCAGATGCCCCACAAAATGCTTGGAGACACGGGACTCCCAAGAAAAGGGGATAGTCAGAAGTCTGCTATGGAAGGGATACATCAGTACTCCTTTATGATTTTAGCTTTTCTTTTCGTATCTTGTATTTTCTAATTTTTTTCTTCTTTTCTTCACATTTTATACTTTTACAAGTTCATAATAAAATGCTTTAGAAGTTGGACACTGTTTTAAACACATTCAGTGAATATTTGGAGGTTGTCTTATGTCACACATATGATTTCCCCTGTTTCCTGTATCCCCTCCAGTGCATGCTGAGTCAAATGAGTCTGGTAGGAACCTTTTAGCAATGTTCCTTTTGCGTTTGCTTTCTAGGATTGCTCTGGAATTTGTCATCCACTGATGAGCTGAAAGAAGATTTGATACATGAAGCTCTCCCTGTTTTGACTGACCGTGTTATTATCCCTTTTTCTGGCTGGACTGATGGCACTAGTAACAGATCAAGAGAAATTGTTGATCCGGAAGTATTCTTCAATGCCACTGGCTGTTTGAGGTAGGTCTGTCAATACCACAATATATAAATATTTGGGCCTTATCAAAAGAAATTAACGATGCATTTTAGCTAACATTGAAATTACCCTCAAAAGTTCCATTTTGCATGTGTTGTTGAAATAATTGTAGATGCAACTGACTTGAGAGCCTGTGTGGTACAGTAGTTAGAGTATAAGGTATGGGAAGACCTAGATTCAAATTCTTACACAGCTTTAGTTTATTGGGCCCCCCGGCCCCCCACAACCTACCTCAGAGGTTTGTTGTAAAGATAAATTGAGGGTGGCAACCATGGAAGTTCCCATATCTTATTGATAAAAGGAAGATATTAAATAATCTAAACAAACAAGTGCCCCCCCCCCGATACAAGCATTCTGACAGAAAGGTCTATTTTCCATCTCTGTTTCAAATTCGGTAAAGAAAGAGTAGAAAAGTTTGTATTTTTAGTGACTGCCTTTAGGAACTGGTTTCCTGTGTCCTTTTAATTGATTCTTTTCAACAGATACCTCAATCTACCACAGCAATCCCAATTTAAATTTAGAAGAAGGCCAATATCTAGGCATGTAATGACTTGATTCTAGCCTGGGAAAAACTTCCCAGCTCTTGGGCATGTAGGTATTAGTCCTGACTTGCAATTTCTCCTATCAACCTCCAGCAATGCCTGGCTGGCAGTAAGGAGGAACTGCTGGATGGGCAGATGAAACAGGTGTGTAATTAGAAACTGTAATGAACTGAAGCTCTGCCTTAGGGGATGCAGCATTAACAGGAGCAGTACTTCACACCTGAACCACACACACTTGCTGAGAGGCATGGATTAGTGAAATGAAAGAGATGAAGTACCTCAGTGGCAGCAGCTTCCCCAGTCTAAGGGTCTCATATTATGACCAAGGTCCTGGGAAGACAGTGAAAAGGGAGTATGTGTATATATTTCTTTTATTAAATCTCAGTACTGTACGTGGACAAAGAACACCTTTCAGGCACCATCACTTCAAACTGCCAGGTCTTTGATTGTGAGAAAGCAGTAAAAACAGCTCTTCAATGATGTTAAAACAAGGTAGAACCTACTTAGTTATAAAAAGGTTCTTTTAAAAAAAGAAAACCTTGGCATCAGCTGTGCCCCGCTTGTAAAATTGGAATAGTAAGGATCTAACTGACAATGTTGTTGTAAAGTGGTGCCTAAACCAGCTTTCACACAACAAGGAATCTCCTTTTATAGAATTGCTAGTCAGTGTCAACTAATAGCTAGTCAGTTCCAACTAATGTTAAAGCACTCTGTTTCTTTGACAGCCATGTATCCTGCAGCAGCCGTGAAATGCCTACAATATCAAGGCACTTCCATGTTCATGAGGAGGGTCGTGAATTTCTGTCATGAATTGCAGCTTACTGCTCCACATCCCACAGTACTCTTAAGAGACCCCCTGACCCTCAGGAGTCAATTGGGGGGGCTTAGGGTGCTGCTGTAGGAAGGGCGCTCCACTCATGTCGTGTTGAGTCCAGTTCATCATGTTCACAGTGAAAATGCAGTATCATAAATCATCCTACCTTGTTCCCAAGGGGCTGGTGCAAATAAAAATTCTACAAATGTATCAAATACATTCTTATCAAAATATACCATGAAGTGCTGGCATTGCAAGAATATACTTCAGAGTGAATGTGGTGGATCAAACACCACTTATGTTACACATCTCCGTAGTTATAGTGAATTAAATACTCACAAATGCCACACAGAATACTTATGGAGCAGATTTGAAACTCGTGCACGTCCAAATGACCAGCACCTCTTCACATGTGCTAAACCTGTCTTAAGTATGCATTCTCTTGGAAAAAGTCATACTGATAGTGGCTGTTCATTCCAGTGGATATATTTTGGTACTATACTCCATGCCCTTATATAGGCGAAGTGCACACAAATGGAATCAAAGGGAAATATATATGGATTTCACTGAGTGCAGGAAAAGAATATGAGCTGCCTGACACATATTTTCTGTCTTCAATTTATAAAATATCTTTTCCTTTTAGGAACCTGAGTTCTGCAGATGCAGGACGCCAGACTATGAGAAACTACCCTGGTCTGATTGACTCTGTGATGGCTTATTCCCAGAACTGTGTGGCAGCCAACCGGCCAGATGACAAGGTACTAGGAAATGCATGATTTCTTATATTCCCTTGGTGGAATGCACTGTGGAGAAAATGTCTGAGAATTATTAGGATTTCCTTTCTTTCTGTCATAGGATAATGGAAACTGATTCTCTTGTAGCTGAGGAAGCGGATGATACAAAGTTGTTCAGGGTGGTGAAAACCAGTGAGGATTGTGAGGGACTCCAAAGGGATCTGTCAAGGATGGGCAAGTGGGCGTCAACATGGCAAATGGAGTTCAGTGTGGCCAAGTGCAAGGTGATGCACACTGGAGCCAAAAATCCTAAATATAAATACACATTGATGGGGTCTGAACTGGCAGAGACTGATCAAGAGAGAGATCTTGGAGTCGTAGTAGATAACTCACTGAAAATGTCGAGACAGTGTGTGACTGCAATAAAGAAGGCCAATGCTATGCTGGGGATTATTAGGAAGGGTATTGAAAACAGATCAGCCAATATCATAATGCCCCTATATAAATCAATGGTGAGACCTCATTTGGAATACTGTGTGCAGTTCTGGGCACCACACCTTAAAAAGGATATTATAGCTTTGGAAAAAGTGCAGAAAAGGGCAACTCAAATGATAAAAGGGTTGGAACACTTTCCCTATGAGGAAAGGTTAAAGCGCTTAGGGCTCTTTAGCTTGGAGAAACGACGACTGAGGGGTGACATGATTGAGGTTTACAAGATTATGCATGGGAAAGAACAGGTAGAGAAAGAGGTACTTTTCTCCCTTTCTCACAATACAAGAACTCGTGGGCACTCCATGAAATTGCTGAGCGGTCAAGTTAGAACAGATAAAAGGAAGTACTTCTTCACCCAAAGAGTGATTCACACATGGAATTCACTGCCACAGGAGGTGGTGGCGGCTACAAGCATGGACGGCTTCAAAAGGGAATTAGATAGGCATATGGAGCAGAGGTCAATCAGTGGCTATTAGCCACAAGGTATAGATAGGGACTCTGGGGCAAGTGCTTGGGGGGGTCAACAGTGGGAGGGCTTCTAATGTCCTGGCCCCACTGATGGACCTCCTGATGGCACCTGGTATTTTTGGCCACTGTGTGACACAGAGTGTTGGACTAGATGGGCCTTTGGCCTGATCCAACATTGGCGTCTCTTATGTTCTTATGTTCTTATGAAGCAGTTGGGAAAGCAGCTGATCTTCGACGTGGTCTCTGTGCTTCACACCCATGGGATTCAGTGCGCACGCGCTGGATCGATCGGTGCTGTAGCAAGCTCTTTCAATGGATTTTCACGCCCAGTCCCCTGGGCATGCGCAGGAACCCCACCACGCATGCCCAGAGGGGTGGGCGCAGACATCCCGCCAGCTCCTTCAAACCGCCGCATTGAATAGACCTATTTTCCGTCGGTCAGATAGGTTTGCTTTCAGCTATTCGCCTCAGCTCTTAAAGATCATTTCCTTAGATTATTTTTCCTTTAGCTTCTCTTTTTTGTTGTTTGTTCTTCAAAAAAATCTTTTTTTAAAAAAACCCCTTTAGTTTCCATTGAGGGGGACTCTGCTGATTACCTCAGGCCTTCGGGATAACCCCCCCCCCAAATGTCCCCGCTTCTTCGTTTTCTTTTATGGAGAAGAAGTGGGGTTTCTTCAATAGGTGCAAGGGTTGCGGTAGCAAACTTGCTCCTCCAGACCGTCATACCCTGTGCATTTTGTGCCTCGGAGAGTCTCATCAACCTGAGTCCTGTCGTCATTGTGCTCGTTTTTCAAATCAAACAAGAAAAAAGCGAGCTGTGCGCCTTAAAGAAGCACTGCTGGAATAGGCACTTACTCCTACCTCTGCGATGGAGGAGAGACCATCAACATCGACAGCTCCGGCATCGAGACCTGCCTCCGATGCCGACCGCCCGACACCGAAGCTCCCGGCATCGAAGTCGCAATCTTCCGTGTCCATGCCAATCAAAAAGAAGACTAAGGCGAGTAAAGATCTCAAGTCCGCAAAGAAGGGCGCCTCCAAGCCCCTTAATGCGATGAAGAAGGAAAAGGAAGCAGTGCCTGCACTGGGTGATGCCCCTATAGTGCCTCCCGCTCCAACGGCAGTATTGATATCGGAGGCCCAACTCCCTCCACCGATACCGATCATCCAACTATTGGATTCCCCCATCCAACAAGTGGAGCGT